CTCCCACCCTGTCCCCACTGCCCTCCCGCCCCCCGCAATGCTCCCCGACCGCACGCTGCTCTCCCAGTATTGTTTCCCTCACCCTGCCCTGCCCTCTTACCCCGAACGGGTGTGTCCTCCCCCCAAACGAGCATCCTCTCCTCCCCCTCCATCCTGCACTCCTCCCCCTCCATCCTGCACTGCTCCCCCTCCATGGCACCGAGGTCCTGGCCAGGGTCACCCCAGACAAAGGGACCATCATTTCTCCTTTAGGAAAAAAGCCTGGGTCATGGGTGGGTGGGCAGTGTTACCTGGGCAGGCAGCCTCATGCCTACACAGCTGCTGTAACCCTCTCCTGTCACCGCACCATGTGCATTGCCCACCCCGTGGTGCTGGCACCAGGCATGGCACTAGACAGATCACTTAACCTCTCCCTCTTAAGTGCACAGCACTTCCTGGAAACAGCAATGCCCAAGACTCCCACCACCATGCAGGTCCATGCCCCCCACCTTGTCCTGTTCCACTCCCCCCACCAGACATCACATTAACAGCATCCAATACTTTACAGCCCTGTCCTTCTCCACACACTCTGTCCTTGAACATACCCCTCCATCCCCTTGTGCCACCCCAGCACACGGTCTGCCTCTGTCCATCACACATCCAACAGTGAAAGCACCAGTTTGCACACTACAGCTCGCCATCGCTATTTACACCACAATGGTGCTATGCAAACACACAACCTGCCCACTCTTCTGTCCACTCACGTACTGCTTCCACTCATAGGATCACTTCAGGCTCAACCACCGCATGTTGCATCACCAGCGCTACAACCCCCTCTATTAATACGGTCCTTAAAACATATGCATATCCTCGATAGGGTTGTATCTACAGAGAGTGAGGCTATAAACCCTCCTCAGCACTATACAGTGACACAAACCATTGACACCATCTGCATTCATATACTACTTCAACATATACGTAGCCATCACTTCATAAATGGCTTATCCCACGCTACACCCATACACCCACAAACAGCTTCTACGCACCGACCCGTATCATACTGTTTTGTACACACACCCTGAGCATAGACAAACAGTCGTATACACTGATAGCTACTCATACTGTCCTCTCTAGACAGACACTGCTGCCTTACAAGCCTCATCCACCCCTCCAGTTCCAAACATACATGAACACCAGCAGATAGTCCTAATACTGCATCTCTGTACCCTGGCAAGCACACCTCTATATATGTTGGGTTTGTTTTTAAACGTATGATCTTCACATATACCTCTCCTTCTGGGCAATATGTCTTTTATCTCCCTATGTGTTATTGCTCCAATGTATACAGTCTCTCCTTACATAGTTATACATAACCGCTTAATCAAGTTCCATAACACACACACTGTCACACTTGCTCATTGCATCAACACTCCATCAGCACAGGCATGCATACAAAATACTCAGTAATTGCTTGTTTTGTTGGCTGTAGCCACTTGTATGTGTGAGCATACCACACCTGTATGGACACCAACCTGCCTCTTCACATAAACTGTCACCTATGAACACCACCTACTTTTGTCAAGAACAGCAGGTCCACACCACATAAATATCACCACAGTGCATATGCTGCTATATGCTCCCCACAGCACCACTATACTCAGCATCACACATGCATCCTTACAGCCTACTCGTTTTACCATGCATACCCATCACCTCCTACAGTTCACACATCTTGTTATCACTGTCTGCCCACCATCCCATCACAATTATACATATTAGCACTACCCACCACTTTAATATGCAGATACACACAGTATTACCATCAATTCTTTATAACCCATCATCAGGAATTTATCCTCTCTAGCACCATATATATCCCTATACCTCTTATCACCACCACCAGCTATTCCAACACATATATGTATCCTCTCTGACTGTAAGATTTTCCTCATGTCAGTCATCACCTCCAATCAATATACACCTAGACACCCCAATGTGACCAGTGTGTGCTTTGACACCTTGTCAAATGTATTCCATTTAGTAGACGCACACTTTTACATGACCCTTAAGCAAGCTGTTTCCTTTTCTTCTGTGGCTACAAAGTAGATTGTGAATACATATATATATATATATATATATATATATATGTATGTATACACCCCTACAAATAAATTTAAAGATATATAAAATAACCCTATTCAGTTTATAGTAGTTGCACACAGGGTCTATTTGAGGATTTTTTGTATTTATGTTCTAGTATAGAAAAGCATTTATTGGGCAGCCTTCACAAATGATCTTACCATTCTCGACTATTGCTGTATATGAGTGTTTTACTTAAATGTTAGAGCACTTGGGGATGTCATACTTTTTTTTTTTTTTTTCCTCACAAAATTCATCCTTACATTTGGGGTTTTAGAGGTTGTATATTCCAATGTGTTATCATCAGAGCTTCCAGTATACAGTGGAAAAAAAGTTTATATTTAACTACAACATACAAAATCTTTACTTGCAATGTGCTATCTGACACTGCTCCAATCTCCAGTTATGTAAATTCAGCTGGAGAATTATTTTCTTTAAAATTTATATTCTGGGGGAATATGAATCAGCTTTCAGTCACTGATAGAAGTGTAAGTCAATAGCTTCAAAACTACCAACAAGAACATCTGGTTGATTGCAGCACTTTAGTCTGTTTGAAAACCTATAGATCCAATATAATCCAATTTTTGTTTATGTGAGCATTTGTTTCAAGGGGCGTTTACTTATGGATCACTTCTTGAGGGGTTTCCTTTTTCATATGGGTATAAATTGTCATTTAACAATAGTAATACTAGAAATGTGAATGCTTTTAGATTGCTTTTTACAAACATGGGAGCAAAAAGGACTGATTTTGAAACTATTAATAGTAGTGTCATCACCACAAAATTTCAGTTCTTGTCCAATTGCCTTCCATTGCATTTGTACACATATAAACACACAGTCACTCATGGAGACATTTTAGATGTTTTAGTCATGCTTTGGCTCACTTTTAATTAATTGCTTTGCAATGCTAATATTTGGCCATGCCCTGCATCCAAAAGGTTCTGTGAAAGCTCTTTTGTTTAAATAGATGTGGGTATAAGTGTTCTTTTCTACTGCAATGATTTGAGATAATTACCTGTAAATTGTAACTCCTGCAAAGATACTAACCTCAAGCAGGTACTTGATGTGTATGCTCAGAAAAAAACAAAATACCATCATAGGCATAATTATAATGAAGTACCATGTGCTATATGTCCTACTTAGAAGGCTAGAGGATTTCTGTATCTCCATTCACTGAAGTTTCTTTTGGGCATGAAAAATTGCATTCACATTAGGTAATGATACCATTTCCCAAAAAGGAATTGTATGAATGCCTGCCTAGTCACTTAGGCCAATTGCTCTGACAGAGTTTATATCTATTAATTTACTGAGAAATTCTAGCTACTGATCTTTACCAATGCTCAGTTGCCTGTTGCTCATTATTCAAAAACATACATTTCTAACCTCAACTACTTGATAAAGTAGCAATGCTTGATTAGAATTAATGCATTTTATTATCCTAATAATGATATAATACTACTATAAATACCAACACTGGCTCATTTCAACCTTATGAAACAAAAGACAAGTTCTGACTATTAAAATATCCTTTAAAGAAGAAATTCTGACATAAACCAACTGTAATTTGGGAACATGTTTAGACATTTTACTTTTATGGTTCATTCTTTCACTTACGCACTTTGCATAGTGTAGGCCAGAGGACTTAGCTTGTGTTTATAATCTATCTGTCAGAAAACAGGGGAGGGCAACTTGACCATCTCAACATAATCTTCAGGTAGACATACACAAATACTTTCTGATAGCCCATTTTTGTAGAAACACCTGCCTCCCATGTAATGGTGGCAAAAGAATTGTCTCCCCAAAATTTTTACTTCTGGGCCATGCTGTAAAGTCTAGGGCTAAGGCTCAGCCCCATGCCTAGGGTTAGAGTTAGGGTTAGGAGAGACACGAATCCCATAGCTCCAAAGGCAGTGGGAATGCAAGGGGGAGACCAATGGTGAGGGAGGCTCTACAAAGAGTTCTTCTTTGTTCCTCTGGGACAATGCTACACATCTCAGGGTACAGTTTATCCCATGCCTAGGCTTATGTTTAAGGTCAGGAGAGAGACAAAGCTAACAGCTCCAGCTGAAAGGGGTTGAAAAAAAGTTTAAAACTGCATAAGTGTGGTGGTTTGAACTCAGCTGGTAGCCAATCGCCACATGGCCAGTTGTTTACTTCCCTCACCCCCCCATGCCTGGTGAAATAAGGGAGGGACAAAAGAATAAATTAGTAGGTTGAATAAAAAAATATTCACGAATAGTAACAAAACCAACAGTAACAATTATAAGTCCAAAATGGGTAAAATGCAGCAGTGGCTTACTGAGCATGGTGACAGGCACGAAGTCTGCCCCCTCCACAGCAGCGATCCGAAGCACCAGAAAATCATGCCATGCCGACCTGGAAAACCAAAACCAGCGCACACGAGAGAGCATGCATCCTCTTATACACTGAGCATCAAGTCACATGATATGGAATGCTCCAGTGATTGATCCTGACCCAGCCCTCTAGCTGTGCTCCCTCTCAGCCCAAGGAAAGTTAACTCTATCCTGTCCAAAACCAGGACAATAAATTAGGGGAAGACTCCACATATATGTCTTCTAATGTCTTTCTTCTCGGGCCATAGGTTGCAGTCTCCAGATAAGGTGGATTCTAACCATAATTGGATTATGGTTAGAAGAGAGACAAAGCCAAGAGCTCCAAGAGGGCTGAGTCTTAGGAAGGTCTTCCAAAGGGAATGAAGACTTAGCAACTTTTTCTCCCCTTTCCACGTTCTCCTCTGGGACATGGCTGGGATGTCAGGGTAAGGCTCATCCCAAGCACGTATTAGGGTTAGGCTTATGCGAGGCA